TCCCTCTGCCTGAAACACCTCACTCAATGCACCAGTCCAGAGCTGGTGGCAGCCTCCCCGCTGCTCTCCCAGAGATAGGTCTTGTCCCTTCCTGTCCCGGCCACCTCAGCAACTCTGAGTGCTGGCCTGAAGCAGCCTCATTTCAATCGGCCACACCCTGTCTAGAAATACCCAGCACCCCATTGCCTTCAGAACCAAACTTAGCCTGGAGTTCAACGTCTCCTACAAGTCCTCATCACTCCTCTTTCCATTGTACTCACTCTCCACCTCCTTAGCACTTTGCTAACAAGCTAAGTGCTTCACATTTAGGTCTCGTGATATTCCTACAGGACAGGTGCTATTCTCCTTGCTCTTCAGATGAAGGAATTGAGGCTTATCTAAGCTAAGTTAACTGGTTTGAAATACCTTAGTTGTTTTTCTCATTGCTGAGACAAAATAGCCTACACCTGCAACTTAAAGGAGTTACGACTGGCCTGACATATGAACAACTTGGGTTAACTGGGTTATTGGAAGGTTCATCTGCCTCTTGTTATCTATAGGGTGTATCCAGGTAAACATCCAGATCTCAGTTGTATTGACCTACAACCAACCTGAGTTACAACCAGCCCTCAGAAACCAATAGAGTTTGTAAGTCAAGGGTCCACTGTAATTACAAACCGGCTCACAGTTTATAGAGATTTTGGTCCATCGTCAGCTGGTTCCCAGGCAGGACAGCAAAGCAGAGGGACAGGCAGAGGAGAACGAGCTCACAGCATGGCACCAGGAAGCAGAGTCAAGGCGGGAAAAGAGAGGAATAACCCTTCCCAGGCCACACCCACAGAGAGCCACCCCTTTCTACCAGGCCCCACCTCCTAACCCCAAGTCCGCTGAAAACTCATCAGTGAACTAATTCACGCCCCCATGATCCACTCCACCTTCCAAAAGTCCCCCTATGAGCACAGAAGGCTCTTGGGACATCCAGATATAAACCGTAACAGCGTCCCAGTGTGTTTTCATTCCTGACGTTACTATCAACGCGGTGGCTTAAAGCCACGAACCTGATTCCCTTGCGGTTCTGGAGGCTTGAAACCCAAGCCTGGGTGTCTGCAGGACCAGCTAGCTCCCTGCGAGGTCTTCTTTAGGGGACACTGCTTCCTGGACTCTCCAACTCTGGTGGTCTCAGACATTCCTTGGCTTGTAACTCCACCCCTCCAGTCTCCACACGGCCTCTTCCCCGGTGTCTTCTCCGCGCCCAGATCTCTCCCTTCTCTTACAAAGGTGCTACACATCGGATTTAGGGCTCACCCTGAGTCCAGTTTGATTTCCTCTTGAGATCTTTAACTAATTACACATCAGCAAAGACCCTCTTCTAGTCAGCTTTCTCATTGCTGGATAAAATACCCAATGCCACGACTTAAAGGAGGAGAGGTTTGTCCGACTCAAGGTTTCAGAGGTTTCAGTCCATGCTGGTCAGCCTCCAAGGCAGAAACACGGCGGTGGAAGGGCGTGGCGAAGCAAATCTGCTGGCCTCATGGTAGCAGGGAAGCAGAGAACAGGGAAAGAGAGCCCCAGAGACACACTTTCCACAGGCTCAGCCGCAGTGACCCGCCTCCACCTGGGCCCCTCTGCCTTAGCACATTCGTCTGGGAACATCAGGGACTTGAAGCCACTATCCAGTCTCGGGCCCCAGGACACCAATCACCTGTCCAGGAGTCTCCTCAAACTGACAATTAAGCTCCACCATCGCAGGCCCGATTTGCCCCAGTTAGGTCACATTTTGAGGTCCCACTGTACATGGAGGGAACAATATTCAACCCACTGCCCTCAGAAATTAGGGTTCTCTGACTCCAAGCATCGTCTAACCGTGTACTTCACTTAATGCCAGCCAGAAAGCTCCAGAATAAATCAAACGTCTCTCATTGGTCCAAAGTCCCTGACTCTGTCTTTCTTCATGCTATTTCCTTTACACAGACCCATCTTGCCCTTTTTCTTCCCTTCTACCAACTGTACTTGAGGAAATCTTGAGCCGTATTCTAAAGGTACTGCATTGCCCCTTTCTCCAAGAAGACATCCAGGACTGCACCAGCCAGGCAAGGAGATCTTCCACCCGCCACACTCCCACTCCTTACTTCTTCCTCTGTTGTCTTCAACACCACATTCCAGGTTTCTGTGCAGTTGGCGTCATTCACCATCACTTCCCGGCTCTTTTTTTTTTTTTTTTTTTTTTGGTACCGGGGATTGAACTCAGGAACCTACACTTGTGAGGCAGGCAGTGACACCACTGAGCTAAATCTCCGGCCCACTATAAGCCATATTAAGAGAAGGCAGAGCTGCCTTCTCCTAGTGTGTGCTCTCCACAGCACCCTGCACAATCAAGAGTGTTTAACCCTGCCTCTTCCCCTATATTAATTCATAAATCAGTAAGCAAAAATGTAGAATGCATAAAAACCAACCTTTTTCCATTGCCCCCACTTCCCCCAAATGGAATATTTTTTTTATTTATTTGACTTGAGAAAGGGTCTCACTATGTAGTATAGGCTGGCCTTGACCTCAGTATGTAGCCCAGGCTGGTGTCGAGTACAAGGGGATCCTCCTGCCTCAGCCTCCCAAATGCTGGGATTACATCTGTGTACCATCGCATCCAGCTCCAAAAATGGAATTTTTTAAAGCCCAATTCACATCCAATCTAATCATTTTAAATTTCCCTTTATTTGAATTTGATCTAATGAAGACTCATCCCTTCCAAGTAAAATTGTTCCACCATTTTTTTTTTTAATTTCCTCCTCATTCTAGTACCACCTTCTTTGGCTTTGGAGGACAAATCTACTGCTTTCAAGGGTCCTGAGGACAAGGATGATGTCTTGGTGGCCATTAGAATCCCAGTGCCGGTCAGTGCCTGGCCCCCAACACCATGTGCAGAAGCAGGAGAGGGTGAAGGGGCAGACGCTGTGTCAGAGCCTCACCTCAATCGCAGGAGACACATCACGGACAGGAAGCTGAGGCTGGGACAGAACACCTCCTTTGCTCTTGTCACACTCCCCGGAAGGGCTGAGAGCCAGGTCTGACTCCAGGGATGTGTCTTGTAACCAAGAGGCCCCCTGGATGCAATGCAGCCTGCGACGTCCCACAAGGTCAGGCCAGGAGCCCGGCTGTGAGGATGCTGAGCAGGCCCTTCAGCCCAGAGGCTTGGGACCTGTGGGACCTGGGGCAGGGGAGGCTGAAAGTTGGGTCTGAGAACAGACAATGCTGCAAATAATGTGCCTAAGGGCTAGGGATTTAGCTCAGTGGTTCCACTGCCTGCCTCTCAAGCATAAGGTCGATCCTCGGTACCCCCCAAAAAAAGCAAATAATGTGTGTGTGTTTGTGTGTGTGTGTGTGTGTGTGTGTGTGTTTGCTGTGTATGCACTATGTGGGTGACACATGGGGAAGAACATTTTGGAAACTAGAACATGCAGTGACCAGGAGTTACATGGTAAGCCCAGTCTGGGCCTAGCTCTAACCATCTGAACAAACATCACTAAGTCACTCTAGCCCTGCACTATCTATGAAATGAGATTCTGTTGCCCTCTTAAAAGCACTGGGAGGATCCATGAGATTCAAGGAGAAACAGTTCTGCAAGTGCTCGTAAGTACAGGGCCCTGAACTGAAGAGTACAGGGGTAAAGAGGAAAAGCAGTGGTGATTCATGAGGAGTTTCCATTTGAACTGGAGAAAGCAGACACGTTAACTACCTCTAATTTACACAGAAGGGAAGATGCACAACAGTAAATAATGAAAACTACTACTTCTTGAGCTCTGTGCTGCACAGCACACTGAAAGTTGATCATCTCACAACAGTCTTATAAGGTTGATATTATTAGCAGCCCATTTTGTAGACGAGAAGACTGAGGGCTACAAACATTTACTCTTTCCCACAAAGACACATCGATGTTAAATGTGCCAGCTTTTGTTTTGTTTTGTTGGTACCAGGGATTGAACTTGGGATCCTGAGCTTACAAGGCAGGCAGCAGCACCACTGAGCTAATTCCCCAGCCTACGTCAATGCTAAATGACACAGCCAAGCTTCACCCCAAGCCCGTCTAACCTAAATCTTTACTCTTACTACTTCCCTGTACTATTTCCTTGAGCTATTCAAGATGCAAAGTGCAAGGGATGGAATCTTTGCCCTCAACTTGGAAAAGAAGTGGCCAAAATATAGATCACTTTGAAAACTGTCATGTTAAACAACCTGCAAAGTCCCATGGTCATTACTGTTGGTGTGTGTCTGGCTACAAACTCAGATAGGGATGTGAAAGTGAAAGAGGTGCACAAAGGGGCGGGAGACATTAACAGGTGACACCAGGGAGCCCCACTCTTGCACACAGCCCTCCAAGGGACGCCACGTGACTAATGTCAGACCGCATTAGTGTCAGAGGAGGAGAATGTGGAAAGCTTTGCCCCTCCAGATCTCCCACCTTTCCCCCCACTAATCTTTGTTAACTTCCTCGAAAGCTTTAACCAAGCTTAAGACCATAAGCTTTCAGGGAACAAAGTGAAGCCCATCTGTTCAGGCAGGAACTTGCCAGACCAAAGTAAAAGGTCAGTTTGACTCTGACTATAGTGTAGCATTTAGATGACCCCTAAATACTTCCCAAATGAATGAGCCAAAAATAACTTTGCATTACTGTGAATCATGACTCCAAAGGAGCAGTATCGGGAATTCTCTTTAAAACAGATCATGACTGTGTGCTACTAATGAAAAAAAGAAATAATGTAATAGGCCCATCTCTGGAATATGCTTGTTCTAATGGCTATAAAAATAATAACCGTCCTGTTTGGGAAGGAAGACCGAATGACTTTCTTTTCAAAGATTTTATTTCTTTTATTATAAGACATATAGATAAAAAGTTGTATATTTTGAAAAAGATAGAAAATGGTAATAAAATGGACATTTTCCTTATTAAGAAAGATGTTCATAAATATGCTTTATCAAATGTCAAAATGGTTATTTTGCAAATAATAAATAGAGCAGAGCTGTGACATCTAAGGGTCAATTCAAAATAATGGAAGTTTTTATGTGATATGTTTTAGAAAAATTCAGACCTTAAAAATTTGGTAATTTGCCCTTCAGGTTATGAATAATTCAGACTTTTAAAATATTTGTACAATGGCTCAAAAATAACAAAACATAAAAGGAGGTTTGACTAAGTAGAACTTGATAAAAATGATATCCCCCAAATAAAAAAGTATTAGACACAATAAGTAAAGATACAGATTTTGAACATGGAAGGGGTACACATAGCAGTTCCCAATCTTACAAATCCCTGCGGGGACCGAACAAAAATTATTAGCTAAGCTTTAGCTTCCAGCACGGCCCATCAATTCTTTTCACAGTTTGATGGAGCAGTAATACTCGTGGCCACGATGAACCGAGTCCTACGGGGCCAGCTCCAGGAGACACGGGACACAGAGAGCTCTTCTTCCGAGGAAGCCCTAAGACAGCTTCCCACACCCGTTCATGACCCAATGGCCTCCAAGTCACATACAAGAGCCCCGGGTAAAACTGCAGTGATGAAATCCCTCTTCTGGGCACTCTTTCCTAAGCTCCAATTCCCTACTATCCAGAGAGAGAAAACTCTTGTGAACACCAACTATGTCCGGTAATGAGCCCTGGGTGTCCAAGTAGCAAGATCAGCTTTTCCTATAAATAAATACTGACTGCGAACAACTTTCATTTCCCATGCACTTGTTGCCCACGAGGCTAACATATTAGCTCTTGGCTGCAATGGGAAGCGACATCTCACAATGCTTCAGTATCCAATCTAATATAGATTACTGGTCCCAGTGGCCTTCCACAATGTCCGGCAGAGGACATCTGCATGGTGCTGGGTGCCTAGAGCACAGAGAGGTCGTGGCAGGATTTGGACTTGAGCTTGAAGGCCATGTTCTTGTTGTTTTTGGCCACAATCTTGCCCCAGAAGCGCCTGGCCTTCCTGGGGATGCTCTCCCTCCGTTTCTGGTAGGCCAGCCTCCGCTCGTTCTTCTCCTTGCTGTCCCGGCGGAGACGGACCTGCCGCACGATGCCCTCAAAGAGCTCCTTCACGTTGTGCTGCACGGCCGCCGAGGTCTCGATAAACTTGCAGTCGAAGACCACGGCACACGCTCTCCCTTCTGGTGAGAAAAGGCACAAAGAGTCAGCGGGCACGCGGAGCGCGAGCCGGCACACCCCGCCACGGCGCAGCTCTAGCTCGCTCAGACACACCTCGCCTCCGATGGGGGAGCCCCTAGGACGCACGCCCTCCGGGGCCTGAGTCTTGCAGGAGGACCCCCGTAAGTGGGACAGACGGACTTCAGACCTGGTCCATCATAACTTCCCTGTGTGAGGTCCAGTGTCATCAAATACAGGAAGTTCATCACAGGCAAAGCTATACCCTTACCTTCCATGATCACAGACTTACTATGGGCCAGAACTAGGCTAAGTTCTTTATTTTCAATGCTCATAACAACCTTGGAAAATAAATTATGACCCCATTCAAACAGACAAGGAAGTGTGGGGGCATCTTGTACAAACTTGAGGGAGTCCACACATCCTGTATGTGATGGTGAATCCACCCTGTTTAATTCTCAAGCCAGATTCTTTCTCCTGACTGTTTTCTCAGTGAGAAATTAGAATTCTACTATTTGGATTTCTATCTTTAAAGAAAAAAAAAAAAGCTGTGATAAGACATTTTGAAAAAAGACAGAATTTTACAAATACAGTTACATCAACTAGCTGAGTACATGGACTTGACCAGGCTTCTTTTCTCCTGAGCAGGGCCTGGCAGTGCTATATTTTATTTTTATGGTTGTGCCACGAACACTATCTATATTAGGCCAATAAAATCTCACAGGCCCTAAGATCACTTGGGCGCCTACTCAGCAAATAGGAATTAACCCTGAGCGAGTGTGATAAAGTATATGTGACACCAGGTGACTGATGCCTTAACTGAAATTTAGGAAGCAAGGGAAGGGGTAGGGCAGGGTGGAAGGGCACAGTATTTCCAGGGCTTGAGGGACCAGTGGCAGCGAGAATCCAACTCTTTTTCTTGCGATCCTCTTGGAGAATGAAAGGACGAAGAGCCTGGGGATGGGCAGTAAATCCCTGAGTGTGATCTCCTCCCTGACAGAATTCCAGGAAAGCCCTCGGAGCGAGGAGACTGGAATCCCGCAGAGAGACCAGATTAAAAAGGCAGCGACACTGCAGCAGCCTTAAAAGGTACACACCCAGCTCTGAGGAACCCTGGTTGCAGCCTCCGGAGAGAGGAAGGGAAGGGCTGTGGTGTGAAGGCCAGTGCATGTGACCCCGGGGCGGCCTCTGCCGGGCGGGCGGTGCCTTACCTGACACAGACACTTCCCGGCACCGCACCAGGTCGCTTTTGTTGCCAACCAGAATGATAGGGATGTCCTCTGTCTGCCGAGCCCTGCGGAGCTGGATCCGAAGCTCCGACGCCTTCTCAAAGCTCGCCCGGTCCGTGATGGAGTAGACGATCAGGTAGGCGTCCCCGACCTGCATGCAGTGCTCCTGCAGCCACTCGTTCTCCCCCTACACGGAGAGAAGATCCTCCATGAGCTCAGGGGGCCTGGGGAACGCAGGGGACAGCGAGGAGGAAAGCGCTCTTCGTGCCTGGCGGGTGTCTGGCCGGTCCGCATCGTAGTTATGCCCAAATCTATTTCTTTCCAATTTCCCCTTGAGCTTGAGTTGAAAATTACATAACTACTCTGCCAAACAGCATTTTTATCTACACTATCAAAACATGGGCCTCTTCTTACTTTCTAAAGACTTTCGTCTTTCCCAACGATGAAATTAAGAATCCTTTTGTGAGAATAGGAGGGCTCATATTAAACAGGAGGTCTAGCACAGATGCTCCGACATCCAAAACCTTTAAAAGGTAGGGCCAGGGATGTAGCTCAGTGGTTCCGCTGCCTGCCTCGCAATCGCAAAGACCGGAGTTCGATTCCCAGTACCAAAAGCAAACAAACAAACAAAACTTTTAAAAGGCAGACGCTGAAGACTAGTGTTGAGAATGTCAACTTTAGACACGATGGTTCTACGTGGCTCAAAATACTATGCGTGCTTGTTTGAACATTTCCTGAAGCAAATACACCTTTTGTGGTTTTTTTAGAAGAACAAAAGCACTGCAGCTTGCTTACTATTCACAGCTCATCTGTGAATGACCTGCTCCTTAAAACAGTCCTGTTTTTCAGAAGTCGAAGCTGTTAACCAAGAAATGAGCCCGCCTCACCTGCAACGACCACTAGGGAGAACAAGGTCACCCTCGCACGAGCCTGTTGAAATATTCACCAAGAGCTCCCGGTTCTGCATACCTTGTTTTCCCACATGTCCAGGAGGATGACTGTCGCACTCTCCCCATCCACAATCAGGGTGCGCTCGTATGTGTCCTCTAGAAAAGAAAGGACGCGGGTCCTGGAGTCAGGTGAGACGCAGCACGCTGACTTAAGAAGGTTACAGAGAAAGGTACGCTAACAAACAAACTTACTGAATATGCAACTAAGTAGGAAAATGCGGAAGTATTTGCAAAGATAAATTACTACTCTTGTCATCCTCAACAACAAATTTTGTATGTTCCTCCAGTCTTTGCTAAGATCCCTCAAACCGCTTTGAATAAAAGGCATTCATTTTATCTTTCTTGGAGCTTTTATACAGGAAAACCTCTTATGAGGATAAAATCACACGAGAGCTTTTGACTCATTCAACACATGAGGCTGTGAGTAAGCATTAACTGTGAGCCCCATTTTCAAAACCCTACGTGGAAATCCACTATACCTTTCAGTGGGTGGTTCCTGAACACAACCTGGCAGTTCCGGGAGTTCTGAGCTCAGAGTCATCTCCTCTTTGGGGCAGTACAAGAAAAGTATCTTGTGGCTACTCATGTTCAGACCGTACTTTGCTTTCTTTGGAATAAACCCTAACCAGTTCTAGGACTAACTGGGCTTGCTTTTCCATCTTCAGTATCACAGAAGTGCAGCCCCCGCTCTCCCTGGCAATGGAAACTTTCCTCCCTGCCTTGGAGCCCAGATTGTGTGGAGGTGAAGCACAGAGCCATGGGCCAAAGCAGACACAGCTTGGAAAAATCAACCGGGAGGTGGTGGGTAGGCTGTCCTGGGATTCTACAGGCAGGATTCCTACTGACCCAGTGCCACTGACCGCTCCTGCTCCGTTTTTACAGTAATGTTTCCTGTTTTGAATTTCACTGTTTAAAATTAATGACTCTGCTAATGATTTATCATTTCTCTTATTCATTCTTTTGCCCACATTCTCTTCCCTTAGCTATCCACAAGGATTACTCCCTTTCTGCTTTCTGGGGAAGGTGTCCCCTGTGCTCCAATTCAAAACTGCAACATCTTGCCCTCCCCAACAATTCCTTACCCCGATCTATGTTTCTTTGTCCTTACTGTCACCTAATACGCAATACATGAAACTTAGTTATTTTATTATTTGCTTCTCCTGCTCCCCAGAATGTCAGAGATTTGCATTTGTGCTGTATACGGCGGCCCCAGCACCCAGGACAGCACCTGGGACAGAGCAGGAGCTCAAAAATAAAAATGTGTCCAGTGAGTGGATGGATGGATGGGTGATAAACACAGCATGTGGCTGTGACCACAGAAGATGTGAATCAGAATCCAGGTTCCATCTCTTACTAATTATGTGGAACTGGGCCATTTATATCAGTTCCCCCTGAATATCCCTCCCTCCCAAGCAGGCCACTGGTCTGTATGTCACCTCTGGCTGCGGCCCCAAGGACTCTCCCAACACAAGATGCATCCTGTTGGGCGGCGTCCCACTAACCAGGTGCCGGTACCCGAAGCTCAAGGGGGCTCTTCCTCCCTTTGTCCTCAGCTCATATTTTAGTCTTTTTGTGTGTTAATCAGGTAGAGGAAAGGGAAATCCGAGAACCTGGACTTCTAGAGAGCTTTTCTGAAGTTTTCTCAGAGTTAGTGAAAGGGACCACACCTATCACCCCGTGAGGCTTCTCAGCAATGTGGGCCTGGGGGTGTCCTCCTGAGGATGAAAGCTCCAGGGCCCATGCATACTCAGATAGCAAGAAAAGCCAATACAATGGGGCCAAGGAGGCTGTACAGGGGACTGAGTTAGCAGCCCTCTTCCCCAGACCAAGGCAGCTTTCCTCACCTGATCCCCCTGACAAAAACTCCTCCCTCGATCAAACTTGCATCAGGCTCTGATAAACCCTCTCCCGCATGCAACGCGGACTTCACCTTGAGCTTCCACGTCTGCCCTTGCACAGTCCAGCTCAGTGAATCCTGCCAGAATCCTGCTGAGTCAGTTTAGTGAGAATCCCGCACTCCTGCCCGTGAGATCTGATCAAATTCCTCATCTCCCACCTTTGACGGCTAAGTGCTTGGCCCGACTTCAACAAGGATTCTATTGTTGGTTTAGCAAGAGTCCCCCTAACCTTGACGTCCCTTCTTAGTAATTTTCCATCCACAGATCTTCCCAACCTGCTCCTTGGCTGTAAATCACCACTTGTTCTCACTGTATTTGGAGTTGAGCCCAATCTCTCTCTCCTTTTGCAATAGCCCTAAGGCCTACTGCACTCAAGTCTTCCTGCCATAGCCTTTTCTCCTTGACACCCCTTGTGTTTAGAGGCCTCTTGAGCCCAAACGTGGCTCATGCGCTGGGTGGAACTGCACAGGTGTCTCACGCTGGGACTGGCTCCTACAGTGCCCCAAAATGTTCTGAGGCTCCAGCACCCACCCTCCAGACCTTTCCACCTGGTTTCAGCTTTCAGGGTCCAGGGGATCCCAGGAAACCCCAGAAAAATGCCTGCTGTAAGCCACTGCCCTCTCTTCTCCTGGCTCAGGTCTCCTCTGAACATCTGAAAGGTCCCCAGGTAAGAGTGATGAGGCGTGAAGGGCAATGGAGACAGGACAGAGGCCAAGGGCAATACGACCAGTTACAGAAATTATGCACATGGGAAGGAAATGGTGCCTCCCCAAATGGCGGTAACCAATGTTTATTTGGCAGTGCCTATGTGCCAACACCGTGCTACACACATGCTGAATGTTACCTCCTCTAACCCTCACAGCAGCCTATGAAGAGTAATCCCCACCATACTGAAGAGGAAGCCTCATCCGGTTAAGTGGCTTGGCCAAGAGCACCCAGCCAAGTCTGCGTCACAGCAGGTCCAAGTCCACACAACGGACTCCAGGCACTGCGTGCTTTCCCATACTTTCCTGTGCAAGTGCAGGCCCCCTTCTCACCTAGCTCTGGGTTCCAAAACTGCTTGTCCTTAGGGCCCAGCTCAGATACCTCTTCTTCCATGAGGCCTTCTCTGATTTCTACACCTAGGACTCTTCTCCTCTGAATTCCACTTTCTCACAGAACTTTCTCCTTGTAATTCTTTCAAAACACTCCGCACACCCTCCCTTGATTTACAGCTTGTGACTGTCTGACCTCTGCCCCCCACCTCCGTGCTGTGAGCCCCCTAAGGACATGGCCCCAGGACTCCGCATGCCCCACGGTGCCTCACCAAGTTCGGCAGTGTATGTCCAGTGACTGCTTAGGAATGAAGGGATGGATGAATAGCATTTGGTGTGCACAAAAAGTCATAAGATGATTGCAATATTAACTGTAACAACATCCATCTTTATTAGGAGAGACAATGATGAAAATATTGTGTAGATTTTTTTTTCTTATGATTAATGCTGAAAAAAAAAAAAGACAATGCAGTGTGTGAATTGGAAAACCTTCCTCTTGGGAAATATAAAGCCAACTCATGATTCCAAACAGTATCTACAAATAAGGGATGTGATATTTGATGGTATAAATTAGGACACAGATGGGTCACCTGAGATGTTTCTCTTTGTCAGAGACTCTGTTTAAGGAGGTATGGTACAGATCCTTTCTCGCTCCTCTCCCTGTCTTTCAACAAAGAGCTTTCCCAAGTAGAGAAGTCTGCTTTCCAAATTCCAGATAGGAAATAGGTCTTAATTCTCTATGCCTGCAGGGATACCACCCTCTGGATACATGCCACCCCACTGTAATGGACTAACGTTTCTGAAAGTCTATCATCTTCAGCCTTAAAAACAAACAAAAGGCTGGGCGTAGTGGTGAACACCTGCAATCCCAGAACTAGGACTGCAGAATTAGAAGTCTAGTCTAAATCCAGCCTTGGAACTAAGACCCTGTCTCAAGATAAAAAATAAAAAGGGTTGGGATGTAGCTCAATGCATAGGTCTGGGAGGAAAAAAAGGACCAGGACTAGGCTTACAGTTTGTCTCTTCTTTATGGCAATCCTCAAAGCACTTATTGTTACTTCAGGGTGTTTCTTAATTTCACCCTGCTCTAGGTTATAGCCACTGACACGGAGCTCCTTACTAAGAGAGCACGATGTACCTGGTGGCACAGGTCCTCCAAGCCCAGCATGTAGGCATGTGGCTATGCTGCGTACTTGATAGCACTGGCAACTTAAATCTACTGCAGGGGGGTTAGGAACAACCACAACTAGGTTTGAATCCTGGCCATACTATGTACAGGTTTTTCACCCTGGGAAAGTCTGTGGACTCTGTAAGCCTCCACTTCTTCACTTATAAAATATTGGTTCCATTCTTATATTACCAAAAATATATGTGGGAAACACAGCACACAGCAGGTGTCCCATAAATGAGAAAAGCACTGAACTAAGGTCATAAATTCACAAATTCGAAAGCCAGCCTCCTGTTGGGTGATTCAAGGTCAGCCACTGGTCTCCCTTTAACTCCATTCACTTGCGAGTACAAGAGTTTTGTGAGGATCAACATGAAGGACAGCAAACATTAGACACCTAATAAAGTGTCCCCCATTACAACTATCCATTACAAATCCCCTTCCAATGTTAGCTCTTTCCTTCTCTCCTAGTCCCAGACACCCAACAGCCTTCACAAAGAAAGAAACTCAAATGTCCCACACTGGCCCTCTTTCTCCCTTGACTCTTGCTTAGCTATGGTCCCTGTGATGCTAGAAGTGAGGAGAGAAATCAATGTTACATCAATGAGTCATCATCTATAGCTCAGCTCCTGAGCTGCTTCCTGAAGTGGTGAACTCCATGACACTGAGATAGTTAAGAAGAATAAAACCTTTAGGTGAAATGGGCTATTGTAGTGAGAGACAGGATTCATACACACTGAGTGGGGACAAGTGAATCACCACTAAGTCATCTTCCTACTCTGGAAGCCTGTGATTCAGTCATGTGTTGTTGCCTCCTAGAGCACAGGCGGACCGTGTGACTCAGGGAAGCCCTGGACAGTGCTTCATTTCCACAGCTGTACACGGGGACACCTGGTGGCCCTGCTCACGTGTGCTAGCACAGAAGCTGTGGCTGAAGGACACTGTATGAATCTCTTGGCTACAAGGGTCCTCATATCAGTCACAGATAAAAGGCTGTACTTCACCTGTTGTTGAGGAACACTTATGAGATGTCACCTTGAAACAGCTTTGAAAATAGGAAAGCCTTCGATAAATAAATGACGTGAGACTATACAGAGAAAATCATCTTTAAAAAACTGGAATACTCTACAAAAACATTTCACCTTGTTATATTTCAAATTTTTTAAAATTATTGTACTACTTCAAATACAGATATTGAACTAATTTATACCCACAAAGATATCTAATATTGATGTGAATAAACTGATAACCTCTGCTAACAGTTTTTTCAAATTGGCTTGCTTTTAAGACCAACCATGGGATTGTAGGCTATGTCTACACTGAACTCCTGGAATAGGATCCAGGTCAGAGTCAGTAAAAGGCAGAAGTGGATCCTGGCCTCTGCCTCTGTCCCTTTGAAAAGCCTCCCCAGATGTTTCAGACTGAAAATCCCAGAAATCCCTCTTATGCTCAGGTTGAACAGATGTTGATCTTGTCTACAAATGTTTTCATTTTCCTGTCCCAGGGGCTGTACCAGGGCCTTTCTGCAGACCCCACATCCCCACCCAGGGTTAAGAACATAGAGCCTCAGCTCCCAACTCCACAGACAAATGACCCATCGCCTGGCTGTCACTGCCTGGACCACTGCCGAGGACAGAAGCCCCTTGGGGCTGGGCCACCTACCTCCCAGCACCTCACAGTCGCTGTCCAGGCTGTCGTGCACACCTGCAAAGATGTTGGCCAGGGTGGACTTGCCCACCCCCTGCTCGCCTATGAGCACCACGCGGTAGTAGGTGTTCCCCGACTCGGAGGAGATGACGGAGTCTGTGGAGTCCGAGGACCAGCTCCGGCGGCAGTGGTCATCGGGCGAGGCCGAGGGGCGGCTGTGGTGGTTGTACGGGTGAGGCTCTCTCTGGACCATCAGGTGCCTGCCATCGGCTGGGATGCTCCAGCGCTGCTGCTGTGGCTGCATGCCCACAGTGCCCTGGCGCATGGTGACATTATTCAGAGTCATCGTGGGGTCCTAGGGAGCAGAGCAGCCAAGATGCCAGCATCAGTAAACAGGAAAGAGAGCTCGGGAGACTCAAACACATGGCCCGTCATCAGTCTTATCATCTATCTTATTGGATGTATCAGAAGCAAGGCACCAGTGAAAGTCACCAAACCCCAACACACACACCCTCAGTATCAGTAACCAGTTCATCTGGCAAACTATCATTTGCATAGAGAAAAATACTGTTAACATCACTCACTGCCCATAATCTTCCTCCATGCTCAGAGAAGCCTCAGACTCTCCACTCAGCTGGCAGTTGGAAGGAACCCACAGCCTCTAGAGGTGGCTCAAAGAGCAACAAGTCAGGGCCACTGTGATGGCTGGCCAGGTTAGCTGCTCTTGGCTAAACATGGCTCTTACTGGCCCCAGCATCCTGCAGGCTTCTGTGCCTCCACGGGAGACACGTGGCCATGACATCACTGCCCCGGGCCGGACTGGACAGGACTTAAGACAACTTCCATGTTTAGTAAAGTCGTCCTGATACTCTTCAGCTACCCTAAAAACGATTATGTGAGGAGTGGGGACAATTTCACCTGGGGTCTATGCCTTAGCTCTGCCCTCCTGTGCATACGTGCCCCCCTGACCACACCCAGCCCTGCGCCTGATCATTCTGGCAGAATGACCTGCTTCCGTTCAGACCCATCAGATCTACAGAGAAAGCCTTCACTCAGCACACCACATCCACTCTGAGAGTCCTCTGAATTCAACTCGGAGCCCCACCTTCTTGAAGCAAACCGGAGCCAAAGACGCTCCTAAAAATCACACTCCCCAACTTGCTTCGACTTTGGCCTTGCAAGGCCGCCTCCCCCAGCCCCAAGGTCTGTCCTCCCAGACTGCTAGACAGCAAGTGGAGTCGCTCACACTTGAATCAGAAAGACCCACGCGTGACAGCGAGGGTCGCGCAGCCCTCACCCCCACAGCCTGCCCCCGGAACCCGCTCACGAATCAGGACCCCGCGCCGCCTTTGCACACGGCAAAGTAGCCCAGGGCTGGCTAGCGTGCATGCAGACCAGGACAGCCGCGTCACCGAGGGGACTCCCGAGCC